AGATTCGAGGAGAACCCCTTCAGACATATCTCCATTCGTTGGCTTCGATGGGAAGCATCTTCGATCTCCAACATCTCAAGGACTCCGCCCGAATCCTTCTCCGATATATCCTCAGTTCGAGGCAAATTCTTATAAACCACCATCGATCCAGCTACCTGTGGAACGTTGGTGGTCTTCTTCGTTCGGGCCGCCAGCGCGGACCCATCGTTTTCTTCTTCTTCGTCTTCATCCCTTAGACGTATAACTGATTCTACGGTCAAAAGAATGGTATTCTTGTTCGGCTTACGAGCCGTCCTCTTCTTCGATTTTGGATCTTCGGGAACGGAGGCTCTTTTCCTCTTATTATCTTTCACCGGCTTTGGGACAGAGGCCGAAGCCTCTTCCTCGATGGACGAGGGCCTCAAAATTACATTTTTACCCACACATACATATGGGAAATGTTATTAAAGTATATGGAAAGCGTCTCGTTCGAACTACCAAAAGGTACGAGAAATGGGCTTACCATGATTTTTTGCCTCCCATCGGCCCTTTGACAAATCACGCCATGAGCGCTCGGCGTATATGGAGGTCGAAGCTAAAGCTCGTACCCAGTTCTTGAGATCGGGAACTGCTCCGGGTATCCAGGGAACTGCTGTATCACAGAAAGAGGAATATCAGTGAGAAAAAAAATGAAAGGGCAAAATAGGAGGAAGTAACAGCAGAATCACACTTACGTTTCATATTCCACTCCTCGGGAAAAGGCATCTTTTCAGTTGGAATTAGGTCCGAAGTCCTTACTCGAACGAACCTGCCCATCCAGCCTCGATCCCTGTCCTCGTCAATGTTCGAGAACAGAGCCTTGGTATCCCGACACTGAAGTTTTATTAACCCTCCTCGAAAAAGGCAAGGACGGTACAAACGGATGAGATGGTCGAGGGTGAACGACATCCCCTCGATTTTGTTCACAAAGTATCGAATCAAAATAATGATCTGCCAAAAAGAAGGATGGACCTGACCTAGGGTTATTTGGTATTAACAGTAGAAGTCAATAATAACATAATTGAGGGGACCTAACATGAAATGGTAAGTATGCACACTTAAAAAACCTTTCACGTAAGTGGTGATATCTTCGTCAGAAGAAGGGATTATTATTTCTTTACCCTCCTAATTGCAATATTTTTTTCAGCTGTTTTAGGTGCCTCTCGGTTATCGAACACATGTACCTCGATACTGGCTCACATCGACCGGAAACCGACGAGCCTTTATCGACCTTAAAATCAGAGGTAAGAACACACGCCCCAGGAACATACTCCTCAGGTCGTGGCTCTACCGGTGTTTCACCGGCGGCAGACTGTGAAGATGAAGCTTTCTCTTTCTGAGGAATGGTTTGTGATATTTTCGCCATTTTCGAATTTAAAGGTCAAGAATAGAAGAAAGTGACAAAGATTTGGTAATTTTGAAGAAGGGCTTTTGCAAAGAGGAATCACAAATTTGTGAATAAACTCAGAGGGTACGAAAAAGAACTTGGAAAATTTGGAAGATTGAAGATGTAAAAGTGGTAAATGGTAAAAGGAAGGGCTATTTATAGATTAAAGCAATGGCAGTTCAATATCAGCGGTGGCCGACCGCCGTCTGACATACATTAAATACCTTGAAAAACTAAATCGACGGGACAGCTATCACGTGCGTCATGATCGAGCCCAATGTGAACGTCAGCTTATAATCCAATCGAGCCATTGAGGAATAATATCGTTTCTTACCACATCCTTTTCGAGAAACGAGGGGACTATCTGTATACGGCCGAAATAGATTTCGGTCTTCGTACGATTGATCAAGGTCGAAATATAATGTATTGAAGAAAGACTTCGTAATATCGAGATGGGTTTCGAAGATGGTACAAACAAGCTTCGGATTCCAGATATAGGTCAAACACCGAGTTCGAAGTCATCATCGAGCTCGGGTACGGATCGAACTATGATGAGATGATTTCGAGCTTAAGGGGCAGAGGCCAACCGGGACCGTGTCCGAATCATCACCTGATCCTGAGTCTGTATCGAGCTCTAGAAGCACTACCGACCGGCACCGAGGCCGATCGAGCTCGAGCCCACAGACAAGAGTCGTTGCCCGTTGCAAACACACTAAGGGAGAGAATCTCGGCGGGAATAAGGGAAAAGCTGATTTATCATGGAGTCTCCACTATGTATTTTTAATTATATCTAAAGTAGGATTCCCCACTATAAAGAGGATGGCTACATTTCTGTAGAAGGCAGTTTTTTACTTACATTGTAATTCAAGCACCATATTCTCTAATATCTAAGGATTATTCTTTTAAGCTTCATTAGTTGATTCATTGTGCTTAGTCCTAAAAATCATCTTCTCTTCAACCTTGTTTATTTTTGTATTCTTTTGCAATACATATTTGGTATTTCTATTTATCTCTACGATTTGTATCAGACTATATCACATATCCTTAAAACTACGTACAAATTCAACTCTATCCGTTTTTCGGGTAAACAACTATATCAAGTGTGTATGAAAGGATTGAGTTGTTTGTGGTGAATGATCACAATTCACAACAAGACCTTCGTAAGGCATGTCTCTGGTTTTATAATTTTCTTTAGAAAGATTAATCTAATCAATTAATTAACTAAACATCAACCCCAAACTAATTAGCCATATATGAGCACAATTCGTCTTCTCTTAGTTGTCTTTAGTCGAATTAATATTCAAAGAACCATTCCAATGAAGCTGAGGCTTTCTTGATTTATTTGATATCGCGCCGAAAGTTCTCTTATTTGGAAAAATTTATTCACACCGGATGTTTATACCAATCAAAGAATACATGACATGTATTTTTACGTACACTGGTATTACTTAGCAATTGTTGATTATAATACCATTTTTACCTCAATTTTATACTTAACCATGGTAAACTACTGTGGTTTGGTCTAAACACTGAGGTATGGTAACTTTTTCTTGGAGCCATATTGCTGTTTGTGGTGCAGTTTCCAATTTCTGTTCTATCCTGTTTTCGTTTCTCAAATTTGGAAATATTGTTCCTTCGACAAAAAATGGTAGCAGGAAGGAGAAGTGGGAAATAGATTCATGAAATGACTGAAGTTTTCTTTCTGACTGTTCTTTGAATAATTTTCTGGCCATTGGCTAGAGTCTCAAAAATTAAAAGGTTGACGCATGTCCAAATATACAAAAGGGAAGAAAAGGTACTTTCAAATAGAATAATGAGGTTTGGAGTTCAAGGGATAACATAATCAATTTTTGGTATTGATTTAGATATTGATTTTTCACTCTTTTTGGATAAAGATATATCTTAGAAATTATTCAAAAGAATATTTAACTTGTCAAGCAATAATATTATTAGGGCGATTTACAAAAAAGGCCTCGGAAGTGGGTTGTCTTGAACTTTTGACCTGCTTGCCCCATGACAAATCTTCAAGTTCAAAAACTTTTATTCATGGGACAAGCGGGGGACAAAAATTCAAGATCAACCCTTATGGTGTCATATTTCTGCAATTTTAGCATAGTTTACTATCCCTTTTGCTCCGAAGAATCGAGAGGCGGATTAAAAATTTTAAGTCAGGAGATGCAGAGTTTATCTTACACCTGCTACCTTCAATATATATCCGCTCTGTGGAGGATAATTCTTTAAGCCAAGATTGGGATTTGTTGATTTTATTATTAATCCACTCATGTTTTTCTCGTGTTATTTTTACAGGTACTTTAGATATGCAAAATAATATTTTCAACTTTAATTTTAGAACGTTGAGCAGGGAACTAATGTATAATGAACTTGTTCTCTCCGCACTTCACTCGATTAGACAGTGAGATGGGAACTGTGAATATATGCACCATCCTTTTTTGTTAATATCACTTTTAAAGGGGTAACTTTTTATTGTACTAAATATTCCCCTTCCTTTCTTAGTTCTTGATTTATGGACATAATTGAGACAACAAAACGGTGTGACTAAGCTTCTGAATTACATTCTGTGTCTTGACAATGGTTAAATACTTATTTTGTCTCTTTTGGCTTTAGGCATCCGATATTTGAAACTCATTGGTCCTGCTAATATGAATTAATGTCAGGTAGGCCCACTAACAGCTTGTTTGTTTGGATGATTGTTACTTGTTGTATTGTATCGTATTGTTACTTTAAATACAATATTTGTTTTGATTGTTACTTAAATTTTATTGGGACAACGAAAAGTGCTACTTTATGAAACGACCGATTTGGTGTAATTGCGTCGTTTCCTTAGTTTTTTCTCTTATCTTGCCCTTTTTAATTATTAAATAATCCTATTTTATCCTTTACCCGACCTTTTTATATAATAATATTATCTCGTACCTTACTTTTTTTATTTATAATATTGCAAGTTTATTCTTTATATTATTGGTGCATGACATTATTAAACGGCGACAAACAATACAATATATCCAAACATTGTATACATCAATACGATACATTACGAAACGATACATAACAACCATCCAAACAAGCCGTAAGGGTTAAAGTGCTCTTTGCCAAGAGGTTCTCTATTTCCAACTCGAATGCGAGACCTTTGGTTAAAGGTGGAGGGGTCTCAACTATCGCACCATAACCCTTGATGTATCTGTTAATAACTTGAGCATCATCATCATACAGTTCCAAGCATCCTTACATTTCTCTGTACTATGGTTCTAAATGATTTGTCCTGTTCCAGTGTGCACATCAAGCACTGGCAAGTCAAGATGTTGCACAGATTCTGGTCAACATTCTCTTGGCACAATGTATGAAAACTTTTTCACACAATGTGCTCATCATTAACCGTAGATCACCTCTTTGGAACAAATATTTCTAGCAGCAGAATCTGATAAATATTTCTTCTGCCTGGTTTTATTCCTTAGCAGCTGTATCCCAGGATAACTTGTGACGTTCAATGAAAATGGATATGAACATCATCAAGATAAGTACCTATTTCAAAATAAAATTCCACTTCACTCTCACTGTTCCCAGCCTTTTAGGTGGAAAAGATGCTTTTCAAGACAGATGATGAGATTCTTTTAAGTGCTAACTATGGTTAATAAAACGTGTCCTTATTTAAGTTATCCTACTCAAAGCACACATATGAAGGCCTACTCATTTGATCAACTTCCTTATATGAAATGAAAGGAACAACTGGTGCAAGCGTCCATAACCCTGACGAAGTGGTTGTTGAACTTGGCGCTGAACCTAAATATGAGCGTGATTCATACTTGTCCAACTCAAAGACGGGCATAGAGTGCACACCAAGGGCAGATATGTCCGAGGTCCGTAAGAAAGGGACATCTCGACGAAACTCAAAGCTGCTCGTTAAAAGTAAGAAGTCCAGGCTTGAAGACATAGTGTGGGAGTATAAACAATTGGGAAAAGTTAGCAGCAGAGAGAAAGATGAAGATTGGTTCATAGATGAAGACTTTTTTGAGGAATCCACATCTAAGAAGTTAAGTTTGTGGACAGTTCTGCAATTGGTGAGTCTCGTGTTGACTCTGATGGCGTTAGCCTGTACCTTCTCAGTTTCTAAACTGAAGGAACTAAAACTATGGGATCTTCCATTGTGGAAGTGGGAAATTTTCTTATCAGTGATCATATCAGGCCATTTACTCTGCGGTTGGGGTGTACGAGCTATAGTTTTCTGTATCGAACGTGGTTTTTTACAGAGGCTGAGGGTTCTTTACTTTGTGTATGGACTCAAAAAGGCTTTTCAGAATTGCCTGTGGGTAGTTCTAATCGTGATTGCTTGGCATTTCTTGGTAGTAGAAAAGATGGCTTACGAGAGGAAAAGCAAAGTATTACGTTATCTGACGAAAAGTCTGCTCTGCATATTGGTGGCTACCTTGGTCTGGTTTATGAAGGTAATTATTGTTAAGATTCTTGCTTCATCATTTCACAATAAGAAGTTTTTCAAAAGAATCACACAGTATCTTGTCAAACAATATGTGATAAAAAGCTTATCAGACTCCCTAAATGGTGAAAAGGGTGAGATGAGGAATGTAACAGAGGCCAAGAATATTAGTAGTACTAATTACTTTTCATGGGGATTTGCTGGAAAAAAGAGCCAGAAACGCTCGAATAATTGTTTACAAAAATGGACTAGAATGTATATGTCTAACTTGGGAAAGAAGAGTGTAAAGAGGCTAGTTCAAGGAGGGCTTATCCCAACTCTTTCAACTATGGACGAAGATTTTTCTGATTTAAGTGATGAAGAGGATGAGGAATCATCTTGTCGCAATGCTAGAAAGCTAGCTCGGAAGATATTCAAGAAAGTCGCTAAGGGATCTGAGTAAGTTTTACACACTTTATAACTTTTAATTTGTTTGATTAAGCTCAACTGTTCTCCTAGTGCAATATGCTTTATTTCTCTGTTGTAAGATCATTTATATTAGAACTTGCTACATGCTTACATGATACAAGAACTAGAATAGTTAAGCTTTTTGTACTCTACATACCTTTCAAGCCTGATGGTGTAAACCGGAGCAAGTATTGTTTAGCTGTTAGTCCCTCTGGTTTATAATAAGTGACTTTTTACCTTTTTATTTTGGTCCGAAATAAGTGTCCTTTTACGTGATCAAGAAGGAATTCACTTTATTTTTTCAAATTTACCCTTATTTACTTATCCGTAGAAGGTCTTTTAATTTACTCCAATTTTTTATGATAACATTAAATATGTTCAACAATTGATGTGCACTATGACGTGAGAATAACTTCCTCACATTTTTATCACCTTCTCAAGCTGATTGCCACTAATATAATTAGATTTATGAGGCTCACTTATGGTTTCTTCGAGGCTAATCAAGAGTCTTATAAATGAAGGAGTGAATTTGAGAGGTTTATATGTTGCTTCGATAAGTGCCACCGAAAGTTGGAGTATAATAAAGTTATGGTAAGTGCTACTATAACTGCTGATGCAAATTATTAAGGGTATTTTAGTCGCAATACTTATTTTTTCTTGGAGTTGTATTTTTTTAATGGATGTGTCAAAGGTAAAAAAGTCACTTATTATGAACCGGAGGGAGTAAGACTTTGTTCACTGAAGTTTCCATGTCAAAAAGGTGTATTGGACTGGAGGATTTGAAACGCTTTGTGGCACAAGAAAAAGCTTTGAAGAGCATTGATCTATTTGAAGGAAGAGAAGAAGAAGCACGTATCGATCAACAATATTTCATCGATTGGATGGTGAGTTCTAGTTTTACCATGAGGTCAAGTTGAAAACTGATTATACATATGTTCCTATTAGTTTTACACTAGAGTTGTTTTACTGCTGTAATCATGCCAATATCCTTAATGTTTTCCATTTTAAGGTTGAGGCATTCAAGGAAAGGAGATATATTCTATGTTCTCTAAATGATGCAAAAACAGCAGTGGAGGAACTTCATCGTTTGATGAACGTACTTGTGTCCTTGCTCATTTTGATACTCTGGCTTTTCCTTTTTGAGATTCAAATAAGTCATCTTCTCGTGCTTGTAAGCTCCCAGCTGCTCGTGATGGGATTCATCTTCGGAAACACCTGCAGGACAGTATTTGAGGCAATCATATTTCTGTTTATAATGCACCCATTCGACGTGGGTGATCGTTGTGAAGTAGATGGAGTGCAGGCAAGCATCATTTTTACTGCCCCATGTTTTTCATTTTTCTACCTGCTCATTTATGCATGTTTCAATACAGATGGTTGTAGAGGAGGTGAATATTCTAACAACTGTATTTGAGAGATATGACTTCCAAAAGGTTACATACCCTAACTACATTTTAGCTACTAAGGCCATTGGTAATTATAACCGCAGTGGTGATATGGCAGATCAAATTGAGTTCTCTATTCACATTTCTACTCCCTGGGACAAGATTATCACTATGAAGGAAAAGATAAAGAGGTATGTGGATAAATTTCATGTGTTTTGCTACTTTCTATAGCTCAAGGCTGTGGCGGATCTCAGCGAGTTTGACAGAACCCATTGCGTTTAGCTCGGTCTATATATATGTGTTAAACAACAGGTTCGAGCCGTGGCGTAACTGGTAAAGTTGCTGTCATGTGACCAGGAGGTCGCGGGTTCGAGCCGTGGAAATAGCCTCTTCCCTGAACCCGGCGCATAGCAGGAGCTTAGTGCACCGGACTGCCCTTTTTAAACAACTTGGCACATAGAAGAGCAAAACCATTTAACTCTAAATCCAGAATTCGCCACTGGCTAAAGGACTGAACTACATTGCTATCTGACTCATTGTTTCTTTGGCTTCTTGAAACAGGTATATAGAAAGTCATGATAAGTATTGGTACTCAAAGCCAGTAATTTTTGTGAAGGATGTACAAGATATGAACAGATTAGTAATGACAGTTTGGCCGCGGCACAAAATGAACCATCAAGATATGACGCAGAGGTGGACTAGAAGATCCTCATTGATCGATGGAATGATCAATATTTTCCGGGAGCTAAATATCGAATACAGGATGCTGCCTCTTGAAGTTAACGTCCGAAACTTGCCTGGAACATCAGATAGGCTTGTTTCAAATTGGAGTACTTGTTCTGCACCATATTACAACGTTTAATGTCCCTATGGTGCCATTAACAGACACTCCTGCAACTCTATAAGGCGCTGTTTATATGACTTTTTATGTGTAAGAAGATGAGAAGTAGCAGTAATGCCTGTTATTGAATAAGATGTAACTGTGGCCTGTGGATGCTTCTGGTCATTCATGAATTCACAGAAATGTTTATTAGTGGCGCTACTTCTCTGTAATAGTCAAAATAATAATTGCAAAAGAAGCATTAGTCGAATAATCTGCAGAAAATGCTACACCTTTTTTGAATTTGAATCCACATTGTAGAGCAAAATTTGCATGTTTATTAGCATTCAAATGTGATTATTGCACCAGTTCAAAATAAGGTATCTTTTGCTGCAATGTTGGTGACCTTTGATTTTATCAACGAAAATAAGCAGAGCAGACCATCTGCTGACAAATTCCAAACTCGAAAACTTTAGAACAAGTGGTTAGGGTTGTTCCTTATTGCTAATCACAAAACTTTGAAGGTTTTATCCTATCTGATTCTTTTCTCAATAATGCTCACATTTCCTTGTACCTTTCTCTATCATTCAACCCATAATTTTGGTATACTCACGAGTCATGATTTCTAGCTAAGCCACCAAAGACAACGCTGTCCAAGTGTCTTTACACGGGATTTGAACAAATTATATCGTTCAAGCCTCTACTGCAATCTTCTGATTTCCACATCTGCTACTATCTTCTTTCCCATTGCAGGCAAAATCGTTTATTTCATTCCTTAAAAGCATGAACCTTTATTATCCCCTTAGTCCTTAAGGCATTAATCGGATAATACAGTCTAGAATGAGTTTCCTAAAATAATTACTTTCTTAATGAGGCATTCTTGCAATACCACTGCCATAGCAACAAAGACAAAGTGAGAGAAATAAGATCTTTGTTAAAAACAGAAGAAAGGAGTTTAAAGCATGCCCCCTTTGTAATGCATGAAAAATGTAGCTGCAACATCTCATTCAAAAGTACAAAAAGCTTCCATTCAAAACATTCCTTACAAGAGAAAATAGAATGGCTAACTTGCTTAGTGGCATTACGAACATGTAAAGCCTTGGTTTCCGTAGCCATTACCACCAATGCCTTGACCACAACCCCAAATGTATGCCTGCTAACTTAACTACAATGTATTTACTCGTCCCGTGCTGGTAATTACAAGCATGCTATAGGAATTTATATATCCATTTTCCACTAAAATCTTTGCTAGTTAAAATGGGTATCTGCCACTAAACTTGTAAACCAAGGCGTCAATGCTAGATAAATGAAGCAAGATTAGCACATTTTCCCTGCAACCATGTCAGTCGTATGCTGCTGCTGTTAAGAGAAACGAACATCTCCCTTAGACTGGGATTGTCGAATAGATCCAAAGCTGCATAATAAAGATGGTCTGGAATGCCTTCTATCTCATCCAACGCTTTGACACATTTATGGATTGAAAATCTTCCATCAACTTGAGGCATAACAACTGTCTGCAACTTTGAAGCAGCAATCATCTCCCGCATCGCTTCTGCCATAGAATCAATTATCTCTTTATCCCCACAGCTCTGGTCAGAAGCAGGAACTATATCTGATGAACACTTCCTCTTTTTACAAGCTACATTCCTTGTTGTAGTTTGTTGTGAAGTAGCAGCGCTGTGTAAAGGTGTTGGCGATGAAGGATTTACAGGAGCCAAGTTGCTAGTTTCTTTAAATGAGCTATCTAGCCCAGCAGATTTGTCCAGCCCTTCATAGTGACTAGATTGGGCATACTTCCCAACGGCACCCGAGTCAGCAAATATTGTGCACAGCTGCTCATAGATAGGGCACTCCTTGGGTTTGCTTGATTCAGGCTTCGGCTGAGCCTGTTTCCATTGAACTGTTAGGAAACTGTGGGGCGAGGGTGTGTGTGTGTGAAAATACAAGCAAATATACAAAAAAAGAGAGAGAAATACCCCAATGTCTTCCCAAAGGTCAAAACCAATGTAGCAAGAATCGTCCAAAGCATCATTTTGATCAGAAGCAGATTTAAGGTTACAGTAACGAGTACGCAACACATCAAGGTGCTTTCTTAGCTGGTTATTATTGAAATTAAGATTGGTCTGTCTATTGAATTCATCACGTATGTAATTCCATGTTTTCTTATCAAATACATTGTTCGGCCGGTTCCCCAGCTTAATCTGCTCAACAACAAGGTCAGCAAAGACCTTGTCCAGGGAGGGTGTCCACCTTGTTCTCAAGCGTTCTTGCTTGTGTTGCATTTCATTAGCTTCAGAATCCATCTGTAGCATTAAGGACAGCTTGTTAAGTGGGAATGTATTATTAATCAACACAAAAACAAATTCCTAGGATAAAGTAACAAACTTCAGGTACAGATCTTGTACAACAGTAAAGCCAATCCTGCTTTGCACATGTACCACAGTAATATCAAGTATCATATTGGTTGCATATACCAATTCCAAATGGTTAAATTTTAGACTTGCAGAGTAACATGCAAATCAAATTGAGACAACTAGACTGGTTTCTAGTTTACATAAAACTTCATCATCCAAATTAACAAAAAAGAAATAAGCAAAATTTTAGTAAATCTTACAGTTTGCAACAAAATATCTATGTCACACACAACGAATAAGACGCTTTTAGTATTGATGCGGGCTGACTGAACAGAAAATGTTATTGAAAAACAACTAGGACACAATGGAAGGAAGAAGTCACTGACAGGTCCAATGCTGGTTCATAGTTAACTGCAGTTACCCATATCAAGGATCTCTAAGCAATTTTTCACCTCGTCCCATTCTAGGTTGATCGCACCTATATCAGCAATTTGTACAAATCCACCTCATTTCGTAATTTAGTTCTTCTTCCCAGATTCAAGAAACTATTGTATATCTTTATTTTTATGTTCTTTACGAGAAACCATTTTCCATACAACTGAAAACAATGATTGCAAGCAAGTGAAAAGATAAGAACGGGGGAAGAAAGCGAGCAGTCTATGCATGTAAGGATGGTCTGTAATACTAGATTTGGTCGCCTAAGAAGTAAGAACAAGAAAAACAATTTTTTTCGTCTTGCTAACAGAAGAATCAACAGGTGCCACCATATTAGTATGAGAACAATTGCAAAGAGACCCTTTTTAAAAGGAGAGGCCAATTCAACATCCAAGGGTGTGTTCTAGTAGCCGATGAAACTAGAATGAAAACCATGGGAGACAGAGTTCGAAGCATAGCAATGACAAAAAGATTTGTGATTTCTTTCCGTCTGCCTAAGCTTTTATGGGTAGAGTTATCGGTAACTGTACTGGAGAATGCATGAGCCTGGTAAAATAGTCAATGTGCGATCAAGCTGACACAAACATCAGAGTTATCAAAAAAAGGAGAGAAGCCAATTCACTACCCCATTAGCTACAAAGTCCTTCTCGCAAACAAAGAATTTTGCTTTCACATGTGCAATTATATAATTCCAATCATTGAAATCTCCATTTTTTTATTTTATTTTTTTATAAATAAACTGCGCATTTTATTCATCTCCAACAAAGATACATTGAGCTGAGGGAGTATAGATAACCTAGCTAACTCCCTAGATCACCCTTGTATGACAGCAGATGCCAACTTTTACAAATGAGAAGTAAATACATATGAGAAACATTACACAAGTTATGTGCTTGGAAGAAGTAGATCCAACCTATTCAAAAAAAGTACTACCATGAAGTCTATCCCTACTGTTAAAGACTGCATGGTCAAGGAGGATCAAAGGTAATGGATGTTCTGTTTAGTCTAGTCCTTCGAAATACCGGCAATTCCCATCTATCCATGTTCATGAGGCCCTTGATTTGAGGAGGAAGGTCAGAAAACACTCGAAACAGTTGGGAATGAGGGATAGAGTGACTGATGAATGCAAGTTTGTCTGCAACTTGATTTCCCTCTCTATAACTTCAAAACTAAACATAGTTGCAATCCCACACAAACACATTACAAATACAATACAGATGATTTTATGTAAGAATCTAATAGATAGAAATATGATCAACCAATCAACTACTCCCTCTGTTCCAATTTATGTGATACTTTTTCCTTTTTAGTCGGTCCCAAAAAGAACGATACATTTTCATATTTAATAACAATTTAACTTTAAAATGCTTCGTTTACCCTTAATAAAATAATTTATAGCCACACAAATATTTATGGCTCATTTTAGAACACAAGTTTCAAAAGTCTACATAAATAAATCGGGATGGAGGGAGTATAAATTATATGTATCAGTTCCGCTGTATTTGGACCGATTAAATAGAATTATTGCATAAGATAAAGAACTAAAGAGACTAAACCGGTGGAATTTAGGTATAAACCTCTTGGATTGATCGGAACAAAAATTTAACTAATGAGTATTCGCAAAAAAATAGAGTTACCGGCGGTGGAGGTGTTGTGTAATCGAAAGGCAAAAGCCCGGGAACCTACCGTTGATTATGGAGTTACCGGCGGCGGCGAAGACAGTTCTCTTCGTCGTAACCCTCGGTGGGAAATTTTTTTCAATATTGTGAGTATTTGTTTGTTTGGAAGAAAAAGAAAAACTACATATTCCGAACAAAAATTAACACTAATGAGGTACTCAAAGATTTTGTGTCGAAAAATAATACTTTCTCCATAGAAATTAACATTATTAATAATGAGGTACTAGTGTTAGAATTAATATTATACATAAAATATAATTTAATAAGTATATCATATTATTTTAATAAATATTAGTAGTTGTTTAAGCCACTTGTCACTTGGCCCAACGACCCATCAGAAAATGACTCACCTTTGAAGTCCTTACCTGATATGGTCAAAGTTGTACATAATCTGAAAATTACTTTTCACTAGTTAACCTACCTCATTTAATTTTTTTTTTCTTTTCTTCGTTCTTATTCTCTCAGTATCACGACTTTGCACCCCAAAATTTCTCTACCATTATATTTATTCTTCAATTCTCCTTCCAGGTTCAAAGTTGATAACCACTATTTAGATGAGAGGAAAAAAATACTACGTAAAAGAATTATTTTTTTTAGACTCACCATTAAAGGTCGTTCGAAGATTCAATTTCAGAAATTGGATTTTTCGATTTTGTTAGTTATTTGGATTGAGTGTTGTCCCAATTGATTGAGATCATCAAGGGGAGTTCAAAACTCAAATTTGAAGTGTTTTGGAGTAGATTTAAGCTAGATTTGAGTTGAATTTCAGAAGATGCCCAAGGAATAAGAAGAACCCATAAAACTCCATTAATAGGATTCATTTATATAATATTATATAAGTAATATATAATAGTGTATAAATACCTCTTATACATTATTTTATACAAGGTTGATATATTATTTACAGGTACTTGGTGGATTTCTCACATTTCTTCTTCTTCTTCTTCTTCTTCTTCTTCTTCTTCTTCTTCTTCTTCTTCTTCTTCTTCTTCAACTACTACACCTATATACATGGTGTATCACTAACATTTTTACTACTGTGCTTATACATCTTTATACACTTTTATACANCATAGTGTCACGACCCAAAATCCGTAATAGGTCGCAATGTCACCTAACGTTGCCGTTAGGCAAGCCCACAAGTGAACCTACAATTTAGTCATCCCTTTTTAACTTTCAAAACAAAAGTTTTCTTTTTAAAGAACGAAATAAGTAAGATCTCATGCAACCGTACGTACTCTTTTCTCAAAAATACTAGTGTGAGAAATACATCAACCATAGTGACAGTAATAATAAGTACAACAGTACATAAATGCTAGAAGCCCCAAGACCCGGTACCACAAGTGCATGATATACAAAACTAATACAACTACTGTCTGAAGGGTAATAGACAGAAATAATAAATAAGGTAGAGGGAGACTCCGGTGCTGCAGATCGAAGCAAGGCAAGCAGCTCACTACTAAGTCTCCGTAGAAGTACGGCTACGCGCCCATGTGACCACTGGTAGTACCTGTACATTTAGTACAGAAGTATAGTGTGAGTACGAAAAATAACGTATACCAAGTATCTAGTCTAACCTCGAAGAAGTAGTGACGAGGGGTCCACTTGACACTTACTAGTGGTCAAACAATAATAGAAATACATAAAGTAGACATGGAGTATGTACAACAAGTAGCAACGAAACAAATAAATAATAAAAGTAGTTACAGTAATTCCACATATGAGTCTATATCAAATCATTAAACATGTCATGAATGGCCTTGAAGGCGCTAACTCAACTGTTACCAAACAAAATCCAGTCTCAGGTATTAAGCACGAAGTTGCCGAGGCGAATGGCCTGATCCCATAGGAATAGTAGTGCTCAGTATTGTCGAGGTGAACGGCCCAATCTCATAAGAGTAGAGAAATTTACCTCGCTATCAGAAGTACATGCGAGTCGAGAAGACACAGATCCATAGTTCATCAAATATTTCCCAATTTTTCCAAAGTAAGAGGCTAAATCAGTATCTTTATTATAATTCTCAATCTCAGTCATAATCAAGGAAATCAATACACAGGATAGATACAAATAGCACAATTAAAGCATGATGTGAATCTAAGTCTACCCGGATATAACATGAATATAGCTACGTATGGACTCTCGTCATCTCGTGCGTACGTAGCTCCCCACAACAAGTATCACACAATTATTAATACACCTAAGGGGATAAATTCTCTCTTATAAGGTTAGGCAAGAGACTTACCTCACTTTCATGTCCATTAACCGGCTCTTTAACCTCACTAGAACTCCCCATACGAAGTCGAGCAACCCGAAACTAATCAAAAGTCGTATAAACTAATCAATAAGTGCTCAAAAGTTCAGAATTTAACCACTAGAGTAATTACCCAACCCAATTTGGAAGGTTCCTAAAATTCACCCTCGTGCCCACTCGCCCGTATTCATGATAGTTTCGCAAATAAATATTACCCATAACCTCACGAATATAAATATATAATTTTTACTCAATTCCATAATCATTTTCGTGGTTTAATCCTATTTTTATCAAAATCTAGGGTTTTCAACAAGCTCCTAAAATTTTCACATTTTTACATGTTAAAATCTACCCATAATCTATGTATTTAACTTACATTAATTAGGAATCACTCACCTTATAGTGCTTGATGAAAACATCCCTCCAAGAAGCTCCAAATTCGGCCAACACAATGAGAAATGAGAAAAATAAGCCTAAGTCCCCACTTTAAAATATTTTCTACCTGGTGTTTCCTTCTCCGCGATCACAATAGGGCACTCGCGATCACGAAGGAAAAATGCCAAGCCCAGGAAAAATTCCCTTCGCCAATGCTAGACCAGCCTCGCGAACGCGAAGGCTTAGCTGCCCTGCCAATCACGAACGTGACGGCCTCAACGCGAACGCGAAGGCCATCAACTGATCCCCTCACCAGTTAGCCTCACACTTCCCGAACGCGAAGGCCTCAGCATGAACGCGAAGGCCAGTGGCCTAAAGCACCGCTAACACAATCCCTCTCTCCCGAACGCGTAGGGAAAAATACCACCCAGCCCCATTCCTTCATCGCGAATGCGGCTCTTTCTACGCGTTCGCGAAGAAGGAAACCAAAACAGCAATTTTTGCAGTCTTCAACTTAGCTTCGGGCAGTCCGAAACATACCCAAGCCACCCGAAAACATGTCCAATTGCAAAAAAAAGTCCATAAATATAATACAGACCTGCTCAAAACCTCGGAACACGTATAACAATATCGAAATCAAGAATCGCACCCCAAAATCAAATTAATCAACCTATGAACTTCAAACTTCTTCAACTAGCTCCGAACGCGTCGAATCATACTTAGACAATTCGTAATGACGCCAAATTTTGCGTATAAGTCATAAATTACCATATGGATCTTTTTCCAGACTCGAAATCCCAAACGGACCTTGATTACATCAAAGTCTACTTCAAACCAAATTTAAAGAACTTGAAAACCTTCAATGCGCCAACTTTCAACATTAAGCGCCGAAACGCTCCTGGGTTGCCTGAAACTCGATCCGAAGACACGCCCAAGTTCAAAATTATCATACGAACCTATTGGTATCATCAAATCCCGGTTCCGAGGTCGTTTACTCAAAATATTGACTCAAGTCAAACTTGGTCATCTAAGGCCACTAATAAGGAATTAAGTGTTCCGATTTCAACCCAAACCCTTCCAAACCCAAACCAACCATCCCCGCAAGTCATAAAATAGTAAAAGCACATACGGAAAGTCTTAATTAGGGGAATGGGAATCTAAAAAGCAAAATGACTGGTCGGGTCATTACATTATCAATCTCTTAAACAAACGTTCATCCTCGAACGGGTCTAGAATCATACCTGGAGTGCTGAATAAGTGTGTATATCTACTCTGCATGTCCTCCTCGGCCTCCCAAGTTGCCTCCTCGACTAGTTGACCGCTCCACTGGACCTTTACCGCAAAAATCTTCTTGGACGTCAACTGGAAAAACTTCATGTCAATAATGGCAACTGGCTCCTCCTCATAACCCAAACTCTCATCTAGCTGAACTTTGTTGTAATCTAACACATGGGACATGTCGGCATGGTACTTCAGGAGCATAGACACATGGAAGTCCGAATAAACTCCCGATAGACTGGGAGGCAACGAAATCTCATACGTAACCTCCCCAACTCACCCCAACACCTTAAATGGGCCAATAAACCTCGGACTCAGCTTGCCCTTCTTTCCGAACCTTATGATACCCTCATCGGCGAGACTTTCAAGAGAACCTTCTCGCCCACCATAAACGATAAATCACGCGCCTTCTGACCCGCATAACTCTTCTACTTGGACTATGCCGTGCGAAGTCGTTCCTGAATCAACTTTACCTTCTCTAAGGCATCCTTTACTAAATCCATGCCATATAACCTAGCCTCGCCGGGATCAAACCATCCGACGGGCAAACAGCATCGTCGACCATATAAAGCCTCAAATGGAGCCATCTCAATGCTGGACTGATAACTGTTGTTATAAGAAAACTCGGTCAAGGGCAAGAATCTATCCCACTGCCCTCCGAAGTAAATAATACATGTTGTGAGCATATCCTCCAGAATCTAAATTGACCGCTCCTTCTGCCTGCTGGTCTACGGATGAAAGGTTGTTCTGAGCTCTACTCGGGTACCCAACTCGCTCTGTACTGCTCTCTAAATACGCGAAGTGAACTAAGGGCCTCATCAGAAATGATGGAAACAGGCACACCACGCAGCCGGACAATCTCTTGAATGTAAATCTAGGCCAACCTTTCTGAAGATTAAGTAGTCACCACCGTAATAAAGTGTGCCGACTTGGTCAGCCTTTCGACAATGACCCAAACGACATCAAACGTCCTCAACGTCCGCGGCAACCCAACTATGAAGTCCATAGTGATGCGCTTCCACTCCGGTATAACCATCTGCTGGAGTAGGCCACCTGGCCTCTGGTGCTCATACTTAACCTACTGGTAATTTAGACATCTCACCACATACTCAACTATGTCCTTCTTCATCCACCGGCACCAATAATGTTGCCTCGGGTCGTAATACATCTTCGTAGCACTCAGATGAATAGAATACCGAGAACTGTGCACCTCCACAAGAATCTTCTCCCTCAAGCCATC